TATTTATAATTTCGTAACGATTTTTTTTAAAAATTAAATACGTAAATCACTCGAGAAAAATTAATTGTTTTTTTTTAAAAATATTTTATTATTTGTTATCGTTAAAAATAAATTTTGTTTTTGAACTTACCTGAGAAGAAGTGTAAGCAGAACGATCAGTAATTGGTAAATCATCGGTTGATTCCACGTCTACCGGTTCATCATCTTCAATATTTTCATCTGGATTTTCTTCTGTTTCGCTTTCCTGTGATGTCATCATGTTGTTATTTTCTTTTTGTGACGTTTCGTTTTTATCTAATTTTTTACATCCTTCCGGATGTGAATTTATTTCTTTGTCATAGTCACTATTTAAAGATTTTTCCGTTAATCCGGAATATATATCCGTGTCTTTAGCGTTTAAATTTGTCAATGCTTCAAAAAAATCAGAACTAAATTCACTGAGTTTAAATGTATTATTATTTAAAAATGTCGGTTTTAATGCCAACAATTTCGACATGTCAATTAATTCTTTTCCATCTGATTTATTCCATGATTTTATTATTGGTTTCATTCGTTTGTTCGCCTCGTTCGAACCTTCGAATTCTTTTTTAAATATCATTTTTGCACTACTATTACGATTCGTATTATTCGATAATATTTTATAACAAGTCTCCCGATCCTCACCATTGTTTATTTTTTCTTCTTCGGTACTGGATGGAGATCCGCGAGAAAGATTTTCTCTTTCTGGGGGTTCGTCGCTCACAACTATCGTTTCAGTTTCTTTTGAATATTTTTTTTTCGTCGTTGTTATCTCATCGAAATTATGAATTTTGTTAGAAGTTGTTTTTTGAATTTCTAACGGTCTCGTTCCATCGGTTCTGGCAAATGCGGGAAATACTGGACGGAACGCTGAATGATAATATTTATCCGAAGAATTTGTAGAGCAAAAATGCTAAATTTAAAAAAAATTAATTAATTAATAAAATTAAACGATGAGTAATAGGTATTTGATCATGTCTACTGACCTGAAAAATTGATTCTTGCGAATTAGCAGAAGACAAACTTGATATGCTTAAAACGGATCTTTTTGAATTTTCAAACCAAGGTACGGTGTAAGGTGAAAAATGATACTGTTTCATTCCTTCCGCGTTTATACTATTTTGCCATACGTAATCGACCATTGAGATGGGCATTGTTATGTCTGGAAATGGAGGAACTCGCGAAGAAGTTGATGCTCGAAACGATGAGCTGACAGGATTGGAATAAGAAACATTTGTGGTTGATGACGTACTATCCAATTTTAGCTGTTTCGAAGCCGTAGAAGTCATTAATACGGGAATTGTGGTTGTTATTGAAGAATGCGTCGGTAGAGAAGAAGTCTGAAATTTTTGTCTTTTTAAAAAATATTCAAACCTACGAGTCTCGTTATTTCGTTTTACCAACCCCGGTAGAAGAAGTCAAAAGTCGTTTTCTTGTACCCCCGTTAAACATGGCTTTGACATCTTCCCAAGCGTGAACAACATCATCGGGAGGCGAACCGCTAAGTTTCATGTGCCGCCTCCAAGAATTGAAATTTGCAGCATCGGGTTGAACGTATGTCGCATTCGGTGAGGTTCGATGAGAATGAAAAATAAATTTATTCGGAGAAAAAAATAATCCGCAAAATATACATTTTATGCATTTGGCTCGGGATGAATTGTAGCGAGAGGGTAAAAATGCTCCCCTGCATCCCCAAGCGCATTCGTGATGGACCGAAAATGCAAAATCATCCGGTAATCTGGGAGGAGCATTGTCTCCCAAAAAAGATTTACATAATCGTTCCGCTTCTCTTCGAGTTATCATGCCTAACGAAATAAAATATTAATATTTTCTGTCGCAAGCATTAAAAATATCACAAAAAAAGATTGAATACTACCACATCTTCGAGAAGAAACCGGCATAGCACCAGCTCTTCTTAATATTTCAAGTTGTACGGGAGTACATTGAACGCATGTTATACCCAAAGCCACTCTCCTGTTGTGAATTTCATTATAACTGTATTGTTTTAATAAAGTGTTGGAAATTTGAGCCAAACAAAGCCTTTCTTGCGATTCGATAATCAAAGAAACTATTGGTATACCATAAAGCATAACTGTCCCTACCTGAACAATATTTTTAATAGATAAAAAAATAATTTTTTTCCTTATTATTTATTATTATTATTATTATTACCTGATTTTGTTTATTTGTTGTATGTGAAGAAGCAGACATTGATTTTTTCGGGGAGATTTTTTGCTTAGATGTTTGATTATTAGATATTGATTTATCCATAACCTGATATAAATAATTAAAAAATAAATAAATAAATTTAAAATTGAAAGAAACATTTGTTTGTTTGTTTTCTTAAATAAAACGATTTAAAAATTTAAATAAAAAAAAAAAAAATCTGTTCAGAGTTATTTAGAAACACTTTTTTAAAAGAAAATTATTTAATCAAAAAAAGAAAATTCTCTTGGGATAAGTGTGTTAAACAAACGTTCCGGTTGTGAGTCCGGAAATTAAATTGTATGGGGCGCTGCTGGGAAAACGAAACTTGAGTACCATTTAATAAACAAAAGACGACAGCGTCGTCGTCGTCGTCATCATCGTCACCATCGACAAAGACTACGACTATGACGACATCAAAAAAAAAAAAAAAAGAAAACATTATTTCTTTTTATGTTTTATAATCAATAAATAATGTTCCCTTTTTTTCTTCAATGTCAATAATACGTGAATCATTATTAATGTTATTAATGTTTTAATAATTTAAATTGTTTATTTTTCTTCGAGTTTTTTTTTTTCCTTACGAATCTCATTTGAAAACATTGTATATTTAAAGCGTCGTAACAGGTTTTTACATTTAATAATAATAATAATATAATTTCATTTATTAAATTACGAATACAATAAAAAAAAAATTTTTTTAATGTAAATAAATTTTTTTGGGGGGAGGGGGAGGGGGAGGGGAAGTATTACGTAATTCAATAAATAGAGGGGGAAAAAACAATTAATTAAAATTATTAAAGTTAGAGTTTATT